AGACACAAACTCTTTTTGAATAAGACTACACCCGCAAAGCCGCCGTCATCCTGGTCCCACAGGAAACAAGACGAGATACCCCCTTCGTAGTACCTGGACATCACGCGCTTAGTCGAGAAATAGCGAAATTGTAAAAACTTACATCTCCCTGTATGTATCGAACGCCTCGTTTGCTGCGACCTCTAGTCTCCGCAATTTGGCCGAAGGGACGGTTCCATCGTCTAGTGGCGGGTCATACTCATTTGACCAGGGTGATCTAGTGTAGACCATTAGTCTCATTTCGTGTTTATAATGCTCGTAATAATCGATAAAGAGAATAAAGAGACAGGAGCCGCACCTATAAGAATCTCCATCCCGGTTATAATCACAAGCAAGGTACTCTTTCCCGGTCGTCTTATCTGTGAGGACCTTTAAAGGTTGATCTACACTTCCTAGGAGGTCGTCTGCATATTCTGGACAGATTCCCAATAACGCGTTGAGATTCTCTTCGATCCTAGTCGGCGGTAGCCTCCTGTACTCGTCGAGGAAATATTGTGGATGCGTTCATTGACATTGTAATAGTCAGGATATCCAAGTAGGTTGCCGCGGTTTGGAACAAGAAGGACCGATCAACAGTATTAGCGGAATGGTCTCCCTTATTGGATAGTGGAATGATATACCGCATAAGATCCAACATCGAATCTAGTACATCTCCCATCGTGATCTTTCCAGTAAATGGGTGACTCTCTGAACGGACTTGAACTGGAAGTGTCGGAACGCGCGAGTGGCGTGGCTTGAACTCAATGTGGTCAGGCGTAAGAGCTACTACACATCTTATCACATCAAGGGACCACAAATAACGTTTCTTTTGCGACCAGTAGATTATTTATTACATTTCTCGAGTATAACTTTCTCGGTTTGGCCCCATGTTCCGGCTTGAAGGCCGCAGTCTGAACCATAACCAGTATACATTAGTTATTTAATATGTTAAGTAAAGCCTATATCTAATTCTGTATCCGAGCCTTGTCTAATAAATGATTCCACACCTTTTCTGTAACCTCTTCTGTCATCGAATCCGGCAGCGCCACCTCGTCCGCATTCGGGGAAAGATGGAATCCACCAGTTCTGAAATCTGGGCTAAGGAGAGGATAAAGCAAGAAATTCCCGGCATCTCGTGGCTGGCGAATGAGCGGTTTGAAAAGGGTGGCCAGGATTGAACTCCACCAAGTGACATGAAGAGCAGGTGTGTATGCCACGCCAGGGAACATGTGAATAAAAGTTAAATCCGGATGTTGTTTACTAAGGACCTAAAATTCAGAGGTTAGAACAGTTAAACATGATAAATGTACGAGACAAACCTTGATCATGACATCGTTGTATGTGGCCGTATATGCGTTTCCTTTCATCATGCCAAAGCCTTGTGTGACTTCCAGATCATTGAGGTCTATGGAACCGCCAAGGCCAGCAGCGAGGATGGACATTATCCTTCCATCCTCTCCTGCCGCCTTTGCCTTTTGGACAAGAGGCAATAATTCGTGGAAGAATTTGAGTCTTGCGTAGGCTCTCAGAGAGAGGGAGACTTCGTTTCCTTCTTCAGTCTCTGTTCGAACCAAGCCGACACCACCAATACTACAGACGAGGTAGTTGATCTTGTCGACTTTGCTCGCAATTTGTTGGGCTGCTTCGTGGACATTCTTCATGAGGGATGCATCGCAGTAGATGAACTCGTGCTTGACTGCCACCCTTTTGTTGGAGTCGGCGGAGGAGGTTGATGGAGAAGGGAATCGAGCAATGATCTTGTCGGCGGCGGCTTTATCGCGTCCCACGATAATGATGTTGGCTCTCCCACCAGTTTGTTCCGCGAATATTTCCGCCATAGACTGGCCTAGTCCAGACGTTCCACCGATGAAGACAGCAGTGGGAATGTAGGAAGGTGAATACGAAGTGTTGGAAGCTTGTACGACCTTGAGAGAGGGCATGATGGATGAGATTTGGATTTTTTTGTGTTGAGGATGTGGGTAACCCCAGAGGTTATATAGCAGTTTCCCCACAAGGGGGATGACAGTCGCAAGTGCGCATTTGATGGCTCGTTTGCGTTGACAGTACACCGGGACGAGGACGCGTACCTAGAAATCTCGAGCGTATCCTCCGACTTTGTAAAGGGGTCGGATATAACTTTTCTTAGAGATCGCTGAAGTAAGTGCGTGCAGGGTTGTCTGCGATTCCAAAATGGCTCATCTGAGTAAGCATGAGCACTTTTCTTATGTCAGCATTGGAAGGGACATTCACTCACAATGCTCCCGCACAATTATTCCAAGGGTTCTAGTGATGACGCAATGTATTTGCTATAGGTTTGCTGATGGATAGTCTTGATCCAGACACTCGGTAGAACCTGTCTTGTCTGTCTAGTACGTATCATCAAGAGCGGAAGTCCATGTCTTACAGATATAGAAATACCCGGATATCACCTTCATTCACATGTATCCCGGTGTGGTGGATACTTCCATTCTGAAAATCAATTGGGTTTTTACCATTTTAGTTACCTTTATCAGGCCATTCCTGCGTAAAGCCCCCGAGGCTGGACAGTTCCTCCTTTACCCACTCCTCAGCTCCGAATTCAATGGAGGAGCCTACTATCTGAGCGAAAATGCTGACAAGCTCATATTAAATGACACAATCACGGACGAATTGACGAGAAAAGTATGGGAGCATTCCCTCGACAGGGCACAAGTTCAAGAATAAAGGTCAGTATGGATACCACAGTATCTTTTCAATTATACATGGGTTTTCTCCAATGATATAGTTGT